AACCTAGCTGCTATGGAGCACTGTCAGACTTACGTGCGGTACAACTTCTTCTTAAATAAGTTTTCAGTCATTTGGAATAGACTACCAGCTAATGTGCGCGATGCAAACACACTTCCAGTGTTCATCTCCTCAGTCACCAGACTACTCAAAGATGACAATGCACTTTTGCGCCTGACTCTTACACCTTCTTTTTCACCCTACATAGATATTTTAAGTTCTTTAAACGTGTAGTTACAACAAACTACAATTATAAATTTTAATATTATTGGAACTAGATGATTAACATTTCTACACAGGACAGTAATAATATTAGTTTACACATAATATAAAAGTTAGCATAACGGGACTAGTTAGTTTGTGTACCAAAATAACCACAGTTACTAAACAGAATATATATGTATATATTTATTAATCACTCCTTAAGGACTCCCGTTGCTTTCTTTTGCGTTGCTGTTGTTTGTCTTCTTTTTTCTCTCACCATTTCAGCTTCCATTTGACTTTTTGAATGAGAATGAATAATGTGGATATTTGACCATTTACAATGACAAATGATCTGCAAACATTATTGGTCCGGTATCTTTCAGTTGCCTGGTTAATAACGAATTAACTTTCTCCACGACGCAACCTGGATTACATTTGTGGAATATACTCTTATACCAATGGAAAAGTATCTATTTGTAATACAACGTCACGATTGTAGCTTATAACATAACTGATCGTATCTGTAAAAATAGCTTCCTTATTACCCAATTTGGATATAAATCAAATCAAAAATAAGATTCGGATTTGTACACACCCAAGTTATATTGAGGAATTACTTCAAGCTTTATTTTTTCCCAAGTATTTTTAATCCATCCAAAACTTACTTGGGTTTTTTTGTTAATGCGAAGACAATATTCCTATATTTCATGATGTGCTCCATTGAATGACTTGTTATATTGTGGAATAACTTCAAGCTTTATTTTTTCCCAAGAATTTTTAATCCATCCAAAACTTACTTGGGTTTTTTTGTTAATGCGAAGTTAATATTCCTATATTTCATGACGTGCTCCATTGAATGACTGGTTATCATATTGTTCCCACAGACCTAAGACAAAAACGCCAGCAACCATGTAACTTAACCATGAACCAAATTTATGAAATTTATATAATGCTTAATCATGCCTGTATATTTGGTGTGTCCTACACGGATAGGAAAAATGTGTATTTTATTAAAACATTATTATTAATTATGATTGCTAATCGTATAGGTAATTTATCATATTGATGATGCCTGTAAACTGGCGTCTCTCATGTACAAAATGAGAATATACTATTATTGTTATTATTCTACTTCACGTTGTAGTTGTACAGAACCTATGTTCAACTAAGCAGTAGTAGGCATATCCCTGATTTCATCATGATCAACCAAAGACAAATGTGCACTATCATGATAATTATCACAAATATTCAATCTACCATCATCTATCTGGTCGACTCCATCATTTACAAACTCTTTAATAACATCAGCAGATGATGTGGGTTCTTCCTCACGAATCCCTATTGATTTTATACGTTCACTCTTACTAATAATACCTTGTAAACTTATGGGGTCAGAAATGGACTCTGAAACTCTAAGTATCTTCTGTGGCATACTATTCAACAATGGCTTAATAATTGCAACTACATGCATCTTCACCACACCGTTATCGTCACACAATTCGAAATCAGAGCTTGATTTCACATTCAGCTTATCACTGAACTTGCTCACTGATTCAGAGTTCACCTTTGTATGCACCTCTTGCAAACGTGTAAAACACAACCGTGTTTGTCTTGCATCTTTTACCTTATCTTTTGAGGATGTACTACGAAACCCGTTACACTCACTAGGTCTATATGCATTACTAGACATCATGGAGCCTTCTCGATATCCACCTCTCTGAGGCCCTTTCGTCATCAATGATTGCATTTCGCTCTCAGACTGCTCTATTCTAGGGGTGAGATGTAATAGACTGGCGAACTTGCTCATAGATAGATTGACTTTATCTTTTACTAGTTTCAGGATATCATCAAACTTTGGCTCAATACCCTCATCCTCCATACGGGAGCTTATCTTCACCCACTTCCTTTGCAGTCGAGTAGGTAGACGTCTTGCTATTACTTCTAGTATAAAACTCGAGTTGAGGTCACTCATGCAATTCATCGAAATCAATGCATTCTTGTATATCAGCAAATTATCCAAAATCTCAGTGAGTGCCTGGGAGTCATCCTGTAATTGACCACCATTAACCTTAACAGTCTCGAATAATTTCCCTACAATCATCGAAGGTCTTCCAAACCTTTGACGTAGTATGCTCATAGCCTCGTAGTAGCCCTCTTTTGGCTTTATAAACTTACAGCACTGTATATCTCTTGAAGCGTCTCCAGTGCAATAACTCATCAAATTCATCAATTTCAATTCATCACTTAATAAAAAACTACTCAGCATGATCTCAAACTCTTTTACAAATGGTAAATAATCAGCCGGGTTTCCATCGAAACACCGTGGTTCAAATTTAGGGAGTTTGATGTCCCTATTATCCCTTAACGGCGAAACGGTAACATCAACCATGTCATGCTTAACATCAGACACATCGTTACAATTAACAGACAAGTCACCATGACTTACTTTCCTATTTGCATCCAAGACGCTCTGTCCCTTCTTTGACCCAGGCATTGTTGAACTTGACCCAATTCCAAAAATGCTCCAGATATTGCTTGTTCAAAGAGGACTTGACCGGCACCAGGAAAGATGAACAGTGACTATCCAAAGTCGTGCCAACTGTCCAAAACCGTTTAAAAACTAACGTTGTACTGTCAGAAACTGTCAGCCACGTCTCGTAAACCGCTAATGCCCAGTTCTTGCTACGCTAGGACTCACGCTGTTCCTCGAAGCTTCTCAGAAACGCTTAGTGGAAACGGACGCAAAAACCAGAACCCAGTTTGGCGACTCGAGAATTATTTATTGTAACACCAACGTATATCCATTGTGCAACTAAGCTTTACAACTAAGGTCTTTGAACAAATATTACAATAGTGAATAACAATATTACTTCTGACAGTTTTGGTCTGACTTCTTTCTGAACAGCGACCGATGAGACGATGACTGGTGTATTGATGCATCCGCGAAAATATAGCGAAGTTGGTTTTGAGAAAACAACCATGAATTGATCGTTCAATCTTCAACTATAATGACAATATTATACCTTTAACTGGAAGGCGCAGGTCTTCTTTGATGTGTGAGATTATTCTGTGAGTTTGTTTGTAATGTGTTGGCTTTTCTGTTTGATTTGCATTTCATCTCTTTCCGTGTGACCCAGGTTCTCGTAATGCCATCCAATTCAACGTGTTTTGGTCGTCATGGAAAAAAGGGATGGATCACCATTTAGCCGGGGAGTGTCATTGTAGTTGAAGATTGAACGATCATTTCATGGTTGTTTTCTCAAAACCAACTTCGCTATATTTTCGCGGAGACATCGATATACCAGTCATCGTCTCATCGGTCGCTGTTCAGAAAGAAGTCAGACCAAAACTGTCAGAAGTAATATTGTTATTCATTATTGTAATATTTGTTCACAGACCTTAGTTGTAACATTGTTTATATGTTGGTGTTACAATAAAGAATCCTCGAGTTGCCAATTGGTGTTTTGGTTTTTGCGTCCGTTATTACTAAGGGTTTCGGAGTAACTTCGAGGAAAAACGTTAGTCCTAGGTTAGCAAGAACTGGGCATTAGCGGTTTTTGAGACGTGTCTGACAGTCATCCATACTCCATTTCATGTACTTAACTGGATTATTTTTCTGGATACGTATTGTTGAATACAATGTATACGTACTTTTTGCGCCTGGAAATTCTATATACGAGAATACCCTGAAAACCTTCGACTTAAGCCTTAGTTATCTTCAGTGTTAGTTATAATGTGGATCACAATTGGTGGGTTTTCATATCCATACCAAACAGGTGTGTTTGGGTGACCTGGACAGCTTCATTTAAGCCAGTTCACGCTTGTCTTTTTCCATATATCATTTCTGTGCGCTATCCAAAAGTCCGTAAATTGCGTTTGAAGTGTTTTAATCGATGATTACAAGAATACAAATAGCCGGAATAACCTAGACAATGATATTTTCTCATTAAATCATTGTCGGCTTACTCGAGGATGGCTCATCAGAGAACAAAGACTAGGGTGCACTCCCACTTTCTTTCTTTCGCTATCTGTGGATCACTTTACAAGCGGCTGTGGCTACGGCATCTTCCGTGAAAATTTATAAGCAGAGTCTCTACATACACGCAGCACGGTGGCACAGTGGTTAGGATTCCCGCCGACCATGCACATGGTCCGGGGTTCGAGCCCACGCCGGCGCACACTGATATCTATGGTCGGCCTGCAAAATTTGGGCTACCGATATCCATGCTGAAAATTCCATACTTGTACCAAAACTACAGCGTGGAATCAAGCTGTAAATCAAAAAAAAATAAATAAATAAAACATATGGAGAGTGCACAAATGAGCTTTAAGCATGGGACTTATGCACCACATCCTACTTGTGGGAACTTATCTAAATTTGTCGTTTCTCAGTATCTATTCTCATTGTCTCACTCTTCTAACCACTTTGATTACTCACTCGCCCATTTAATTTTTTATTAATTTTTTTATTTTAATTATTTAATTTCATTACTTATATTCCTGCACATTTTTCTTCTCTAAGTCTGCCTCATCTACACCGATTATGTTTTCTGTTCGTACAGTCTTTCCTTTCCACTGAACCGAACGAATAACAGATGAAAGGTCAAATGAAATCATAATAGTTACACGGATTTTATGAGTATACTCCAAATAACTTGAAACCCTTACCTACGCCGTCCCTGTCACAGTAAGTAGAGTTAGAATGGCTGAAAACACTATGCAGAAGTTTACCAATAGTTAGAAACCTTCACTTTAAAACGAAGAATCAAGCACGATATTGTATATTGGAAGTTGTCGAAGGAATTCCGCGTCATCTAAACAGCTACGCTACCCCGCGGTTTTGCCTTTTTTCTCTTGTTGACGATGTGTGGGCGATAATGAGCAATATAGAACCTGTTTCGGGTGGCTTTTTAAGTGGACAAACTTAATTAAAGGTTACAAAAAGCGTTGGTTTCTAATTCAAGATAATTTACTGAGTTACTATAGGTAGGTGAATTTTTGTAACATTTAATCCTTTAGAGAGCCAAATGCAGTGGGAAGGCATTGTCGTGGAACTTTTGATTTGTCTAATGCACATATATGTGCACCGAATCTCAAACTTCATTCATTCTTATTGAAAGTTCGGGCAGGAAACACCATTTGAAAGCTCTAACAGAAGAAGACAAAGAAAAATGGGTTTCTGCACTCATAGATCTTATTTCTAGATCCCAAAGCGTTCAGACAGGTAAGTTTTGCCATTCGTTTTTAATGGCATTTGTAGTTGACCTTATTTGTCCTTGTAATTTTAGGTTCATCAGATGTTTTCTCATTATTTTTATACATTACTAAGTACTGAAATTTAAGTCCTATAATCACATATAATTTATGTGGACTGATCATTTGAATAAGTTACAGTCCGTGACTGATTAGTCTCATGTCAAGTTTCTAATGGAATCGATGTAAACTTTCATTCTATAAAATCCTATCATTAACCAATCTTTCGTGTATCTTTGTACAACAAATTTGTTAAACAAATATGTCAGTGGATTTGTAAGTAGTCTGGATATTATGGCCTCATCGAAGTTACTATCACATGTCCGGCTTCAAACAATGAAAAGTCCATGTCGTGTACTTCAATTCATAGTGGTTCTGCTGGTAACTGGAAAGCTTTAATGTTGTCCTTATTGCCAGTTTTGTCAGGATGTTCACTATCGCCTTATCCGAAAACATCAGTAGGTCGTCGTCAGCGCTTTCTCTAAACGACTTAAAATGCTGAGAAAAGTCTGTCTGTTTGCCTGGTTTCCACATAGAACTTTACACTGGTATGCAGCAGTTCCAGCCAATCGCTGTAGAGAGTTTAGCTAAGAGAGTAACTAATTTGAAATAGAAAAAGTTATTTTAGGGATTCGTATTAGAATTGGGATACTGCTGTAGGGTAGTTCAACACTGTAGTCTCTTAGGCTTTTTCCATTTGGAAATTATCAATTCAGACTAGTATAATGTTGTTTTTGTATTGGAAGAGCAGGAAAGTCGATCCATAGCTCCCCTTGTTTGGAGACTCTGTTTATGTTTATTACATTTAACCAGATGTCAATACTTGCAGTACTCTAAAAGTAAAGTCATAGCATAAGTCAACTGGATTAGTAGTATTTCCATTTATTCTTCATGACATTTAAACCGTATCTTGGATACTTATATTGGTGAAGAGAATTTGAGGGAGTTACTGTAAAAACTATTTTTACGACAGAAACTGATATTTTTGGTCTTCATCTTGTACATGCATGGCTAAAAAGTGAGAGCCTAGGTTAAAGCACCTACCCAGTATTATTTTTCGGTGTTACTTTCACTACTTTTAATTCTTGACAAGAAATACATATACGTAAATCAAGATATGTGGAGTGTTTTAACTTGAACTCAGTCAGTTAGTCAGTTTCAATTAGTTTGTTGCAGTACAAATCTCGCTAAATTTTTTAATTCGTTAGTTATTTGCTTAAAACACTGAAAACATCACCGTAAGTATATGTATTTATTACTCGCAGAAATATTCATGTGAATGCACATATCTTGATCTTTTGGATCTGTTTGGTAACATTTTGAAAAATTGTTGTTTTCGCTCTTTCTTCAGTTATCAATTCAGTAAACAATTAACTGTTATGCGAAAATATGCTGAAAATCAGCATTTCTTTACTATTGCCACTAAAATATGCCTAGTTACTTGAAGTAACTACCCAATTTTTTGCATCTCACGTTAAATTTGTGATAGATGGTAACATAAAAAGAAACAAGCAAATTAAAAATGGGAAGTCATCAAGAAAGAAAAAATTAATTGAGTGATGGTCTACAATATTACAATCTTGTTCATCAAACAGCAATCCACAAAGTCTTTGACTCGTGGTTTTAAACATTTCAAAGAGGTGTAGACTGCTTGATATGGGTCCTCGAGACACTGAGAGTTAACCACCGGGGATGTTTGGCATCATGGCACAAAATCGTTGTCAGTGACGCAGATGCATTCACTTTGTGGACCCTGAGACTCAGCCTATGATCATTATTCTCCCTATGATTATTATTTCCTCTGTAGATTTTCTTTCATTTTCGTTCCTTCGTAGTTTGTTCTCTCTAAGTTTGTGTACTATATGGGTGCACTTTAGTGTGAAGTTCTACGCCGGAAAAACAGTCAGTTGAAATTGCATTTCGCCCAAATGATAGCTGCTACCTTGACGTTGTGGTCAGGTTTGTATGTCATATTGATGCAACGAGCTATATAGGTGGGAACGGATGTTCCTACAGGTCTTACCACGATTGAAAAGTAGTCTGGATAGCTCTTAGACTGAAAGTACTACGTTTGGGGGTCATTGTGACAGAAGTTGTACTGTTAACACATAAGGATATAACGGACGTTTCCTGTGGACAACCAGCAAGCCAACTCTTTTGCTCCAGGGAGTTAGTCATTCTCAGTCAATTAGGATTAAGGAATAAGTGGATTATAGTCACACGCCAGATTTACCATCTATTCTCCAGTAATTGGTTTTGATTCACCCGAAGAATTGACTTCTCTTCACCATGGATACTATTTATTTTGATAAGGTCACAGTAATATTTACTAACGATGTTTCGAGCACAATTTCGAGCAATTTATTGCTAATAATCCCCTTGATGTGATTATGAGCAACAAATTGTGCTCGAAACGTCGTCAGTAAATATTACTGTATAACACTATGTGACCTTATCAAAATAAATTTTTCCCATAATTGACTTCTGTTCACCTAGTCGAAAAAGCGATCACTGCTGATTAGACTAGTCTAATTGTTATGTGCTATCCTGATTAAGGCGTTCAAGTCGATTCACACATTATTTATGAAACTACTAATTTATATACATGGCTAAAATAAGAAGTCATTATATGAATTTGAAAAACACTGACTTCACGACTTTATTCAACGAAACATTTTTAGCGTATACTGAAGTTTTGTTTCAGTTTCACCATAAGTAATACTCAGAAATGAATAATAAATATTATTGTCAATATTTTTTCAGAACTTGAATCTGATTACTCAGCGTTCAATGTACCTCGATCAGAAAGTGGAAACAATCGTTCCCGAAATTCCTTCAGATTTAATCTCAAGGGTAGATCAAAACTCGATCTTAAAACAACTAGTTCACCAGCTCTACCTCAACCAAATAACACTCAGTCTGCATTACAAAACAACTGTGAATGTCCTAACCAATCGTGTTCAAATGATCATTTAGGCAATTCAAGTTGTTTTGGTGAAAAGTTGAGAAGAGTAAAAGTCAAGCGTAATGCATCACGAACTAGCTGCAAATCTCCATTAGGCATTCAAGCACAACAACAGTCACTTTCCCTACCAGTTTATGGACAAGATCATATATCTAGTGAACATAATGTAAAATATGACACAGTGAGACGTTTGTCTCGTCAAAATATTCTTACAGTAGAGGAGAGCAGCCGTCTGGAGATTATGGAATCTCTGAAGAAACGTCTACAGGATCATATTAATAATATATATTCGCAAGTTAATAATATCGAGACAATGCTGACATCTGTCTCAAGTGATTTATGCATTTCGTTGCATCAGTCAAGTTCTTCCCCATTAAATTTAGATGAACGCTTCTCTACCTCAGATCTAGAAAGACGAACTACATCTCTTAAATTGGCCTTACTGGAGCATCGTAATGATGCAAAAGAATTTTATGAGGTAAGTTGTTGTAAAAAACCTGTTGTTACACTCACCTTTTATTCTTTATAAAGTTACGCTGATTTATGAACTATGTAGAAAGAAGTACAACTGATTTTTTTGTGACACACGTAGTTTTGAATTTTATCCCCTACGGGTTGAAAGTTGAATGCCCTAGCGAATGAGTAACTACTTTGTAACTAAATTGTGTTAGTATCTATCACGAAGCTGTTTTTTTTGTTGTTATAAAGCTCAACAATCCGTCCGTGTACACAGTTCCTAATTTTTCCCCCATACTAGTCACATGAGTTTTGATCTGTGTGCCTACTGTGGGAGCAGAAATCATAATGAATGACATGCAAGGTAAATGAAAATGAAATAACTAAAAGTAGTGAAATGCTTTGCGATGGAGGTGAGAATCTGGAGTTAACAGAAATGTAATATGGTTAGTTTTGACATTGCCATTTTATATACACATACACCGATAATTATGGTTATAGAAGCATTCAGAAACGAACTCATTTCTGACTAACAACTTAAACTTAGAACAAAAGTGCCACTAGAGGACATAATGCTAGGAGTGCAGCTATGCCTGACTTCCACAGTATTTGAATTCCAAGGGAAAATATACAAACAAACTGAAGGAGTTACTATGGGGTTGCCAATATCGCCGATTATGGCAGATATATTCATGGATAGGTGGGAAAACTTAGCGATTGGATTGTTCAGCTCCACCCGTAAAAGTATGATGGAGGGGGGTATGTAGATGACACATTCACCGTACTTAGAATACAGGACATAAATTGATTTTTCGAACACATCAACTCGAGGGTTGAGGCGATTCAATTCAATTATGAATTGGAACATATGGTTTGAAGCTTTAATCTATTAAGTTCCAAAAGAGCTTGTTTTTCACGCGGTTCCACCATCACACCCAACCTTCCTTCTTTTGAGTACATTTATTTCCCTTTATGAATTTGAACAAAGTGAGAACAACAGTTTGTACATTATTATTACTACTATTATTGTTCCTTTGGGTTACTAGTAGAACATTGGGCTTCAACTGCACGTCTCCACTTGCCACTTCTGTCTTTTGCTGTACTTTTCACCTGAATCCATGTTAGTCCATACTCTCTCAACTCCTCTTCACACGATCTCCATGTCACCCTTGTACCGACGACCCTTTCTCCGCGTCCCTTTCGGGTTCCACTAGAGCAATGACCTGACGCGCACGCGATGTCACCCAGTGGCCTCCTCAGCGAGTGTCCATCTCCACTTTCTCCTGCATATTTGTTGGGCGATTGGTTGGTCCTTGTTTTGTTTGTTCCCATAGTTTCTTGTTGGTTATTCTTTCCGGCCCGGCCATCTAATCTTCAGTATAGAGCGAAGACAGTTATTGATGAAGGTCTGCCATAGCCTGTTGGAAATATTCTTTGTGACTTAGAAAAGGGAATCTATACTCAAACCCACGGTTTGATATCACTTCCTGTCGTTTGACTATGCTCCACTTTCTTTCAGTCTAATCTGATATCTCTTGTTGGTATGGCGGAAAACTATTTCTACTGGTGGAGATCTCGACGTTTTGGAAGTTCTGAACACACTCATTGTCCATCAATAGATCATCGTCTGTTCTGTACACCTGCATTTACTGTCCTGTAGTTACATTGCGTCACCTTAATGGGTTCCTCGAAATATAACCTCTTGACTATCGACCAGTAAGTCTTGGGTACATATCACGCCTCCGCCTATTTCAACCTTAGCAACTGAGTAGCATCATCAGCCCTCACACACTAAGTCTAGTTTATATCCAGGCACATGAAAATTTTGTTCCAGGGAACTGAGTTGTGATGGAGTGGTTAAAATAACTGGTTTGAGGTGTTTTATGAAACAGTCAGAAAGCGTTCTCAATGTCCCAGAACTATTCATTCATTATCTATTATCTCCAATATTATGAAGATTCTCAGCGATCTTTATCTACACATTTAATTTCATTTCCATTCATTGTGATCCAATTTTACTGCTTTCCTCTGTCTTTGTTTGCGTTTCTATGATGTGCGCCAGCTTCAGCTGACCCACTTTTGTACAGTCCTACTGACTGAATTTTAGCATAGAACTAACTTCGCACAAAAGTACGGTAGTTCAAGCTGCCGCACTCCATAACGCGCACAAACGCAGAAAAGAAGAGAGGAAAAAGAACTTAAAAATGACTAAAACAACCACAAATGTGACGGAGACAAATTAGTAACATGGAGAAACAATAGGGTTAAAAAGAATGTGGCAGATCAAAAGGAGTGGGTACCAATTAGAACGATTTAGAGTCATATCACTGATTGTCTCCAGCCATTGATTCCTGGAACAGTGGGGTTAGACAGGGTTGCCCGATCTCCCCATTTCTCTTTAACTTTGCCATCGGTGACATTCTGGAGTCAGCTCTGAAGGATGTGCGTGAAGGTGGTGTAGATTTGCTACCTGAAGATAGACTTTTCGACCTCGAGTATGCAGACGATATCGTGTTACTGTGCGAAAGCATGCAGGCTGCCCAAATCGCACTTAATCAGTTGGCGATCAGTGTCTGTAGGTATGGTATGTGCTTTGCGCCGTATAAGTGCAAAGTACTGTTAAAAGATTGGCAGGAGCCTGTACCTGCACTGACGCTGGCAGGTGAACCGCTTGAAGTTGTTGATAAGTTTGTGTACCTGGGTAGTTTTATTTTTATTTTATTTTTTTATTTTTGATTACAGCTTGATTCCACACTGTATTTTTGGTACAAGTGTGGAATTTTCAGCGCTGTCGGGGGGGGGTGGGGGATGAGATTTCCAACCGTATAATGAAGGCCAGGGTGGCATACATGAAATTGAGCCACCTCTGGCGCCGTCGCGACGTTAGCCTGGCTGTCTTGCTCTACGTCAGGCCTGTGAAACCTGGCCTCTCCGAGTAGGCTGAGGATGTGGGGTGACTCTGTGTGTTCGATCATCGCTGTCTCCGCAGGATTGCTTGCGTTCGATGGCATCATCGCGTGAGTAATTTTAACGTTCGGCGGTGTGTGTTTGAACACGGTGAAGATCACCATTGATTGAGTGTCGTCATCTGGAAACACCGGCTCCAGTGGCTTGGACATGTGCTGCGAATGTCATCCCAGAGGCTTCCATACAGGTCTCTGTTCGCTAGCCAACCCTGTGACGGGATAGAAAAGGCTGAGGGGTAGGTGGTCAGTCCATGACGTGGCGTCGTTTGATGAAGGATGTTTGTGGTAGATTAGCATCGGTTGGTGCGTCATGACTCCCTGGTTGTGGTCCGCGAAATAGCTCGAATCGATGGCTCGAAACGTTATCGGATATGGCCAAGAATCGTAATCAATGGCGGACGTGTTGCAATTTCCTTCTTTCTTCCCTTCCTGATGATAGTTATCGAGTACTGTTTAAAGTTGTTAAGGATGACTGTTTTCCTTCCAGATGAAATTCTTTATCCGTTCTCTACTTATATTTTTTACTTTTGATCTTTGGTGTTTTACTATTATTGTTAGGCGCATCTTTCTTGGTGCCATATTTTACGAATTTTTTTCTGCGTTTAAATAAATAAGTAAATTGATTCCTAGAATCTGGAGGACGCCAAAAAGGCAGTCTGCACACCTCCCTACATGCCTCAGGCTAATTGCTATAGGATTCCATGGACTGATGGCATGTTTTGGTCTGACCACAACTACCTCTTCCATCCTGATCCACCCTATATCAGCCATTGGAGGGTTGATCATCCGTAACACATCCTAGCCATCTCAGTCGACGTAGCTTCACTAGCAGCAGAATAAAAAATGACGTGCTATCAGTAAAATGCGTCTGCTTCTTTTATCTGATTCCTCCGGGATCTGAAAATCACCTTTCCAATGTTACTGATATTAATTTTCTTTCACTATGAAAATGTGTTTTGTGAAAGGTTTTTCCGTTATCTGTAATCGATTGACTGACGATAAAAGTCAAGACAAGTCACTTCTCTTATGATAAAATAAATGGATACATGATCATACACACAAGCACAGATACACGCACAACCACACAGTAACCACGATAGAAATAAAGAGTTAATGGTTAATGTGAGGAGGTTTGTGGATTGTTAATTCGTTTTATTTTGTCAGTGCTATTGATCCGTCACACATAGATGGGTGGATAGTTCCTTTAGTATATATATATATATATATTACTAATCACTACTTTATGATTGTTTGTATTTGCATATGCCTATTCAACTCACCACTGACTTGTTTAGATTTTATGATGTATATTAGCATAAGATTAAACATCGAACGGATGTGTCACATTCACTGATTGACAATAAAATAAAATATCTCATGGATCTCTTCCAAAAGAATGGTTATCCACGAAATTTCATCAAAAGACATGTACCCCCAAGCCAATCTATCAAACCGAAGGTCGTCAAGGAAAGCACAAAGAAAATCGCCTTACCACTTATAAAGGATATCTCAGGAATCACTACAAGACTCTTCAAACCTTTAGGAATTGACGTCGTACACAAACCAACAAAGTCACTTCACTCAGTTGGCTCTATGTCAACCGAAAGACTCAGCAGCGAAAAAAGAGAAGATAAAACCAACATCATCTACAAAATAAAATGTAACAACTGCGAAAAACACTACATTGGCCAAAGTGGATTTCCCCTTCGTCTTCGTGTCCACGAACATAAGCTAGCCGTCAAAAGACATGATATCCACTCCATCACTTATATCACTACATACAGACAACCACGGACATCAATTCGACTGGGACAACGTTCAAATATTAGACAGAGGAAACAACAAGAATGCTAGATAATTTTTGGAAGCTTGGCATTCCAGTGAATCATCAATCAATAGACACATAGAGATAGACAAAATTTATCAACCGGTAAGAAAGAAACCTCACACACACAAAGGGTCAAATTTCAAGTCAAAGAAACAATCAGTTTCAATACAAGTAACCTAGAAGATGTGAAAACACATAAAAGCAACCAATCACGATGTTGAAGGTCAC